CCTTTTAAATCACCTCCAAGTCCCTTTTCAGGGTCTTCCGTGGCCTCACCTATTTCAGTGGATGAACAAAATGATGTTCATGTTGCTCAACGCCCTTGCTCAAATCCATCATTTAACGGTAAAACAACACAAATGAATCCGAAGCAAACTTCACTCGATAAGAGGCTGATGAACAAGTATTTCTGTTTTGGAGCACAAGGCCTGGCTATGGAAGATAGTAGAAGTTGCGCACGGCTGGACCGCAGCATTAAGAGTGTCGGTTCTTTAGTTGCTTGATGCAGCTTCATGGAAGGGTTGCAGTTTTGAGCAGGACAACTGACAGCCTAGGAATAATTTTTCAATGAGCTTCCTACTTTTACTCTTCAATTTCCAGTGTTTGAGCGCATAAAGTATGTATAGAAGATCTGAATAATTAAAGGGCTATATTGAAAAAGACCAGATTTTTGAAGTATCTGTAAACATCCCAAGTTGTATCATATCTGAGTTTGTTGTTCAAGCTGGATGATTCTAAATTTCATGAAAACAATCCAGACAATATTATTATTCTTCATTTTTCTGAACGCAAACTGCCAGTGAAAATGAAGCTTCTATCTGCTTATGACTATTAACTGTTATTTATACTTTTGTTCATGATTCAGGTGCAATCCACTTGAGAAACATGAAGATGTCAGGAAGCAAGCAGCAAAATTAGCCAAGATAATCCCACTGGAAACAAAAAAAAAGGGAATAGTTGAATTGAAAGCATCTCACCAATGTTGAAGAAATGTGAGATGGCAGCCCAAACTATGTTCCAAGCTTATTTTAAGTAGGTTGTAAAGTCATCGGGCCCTGTAGCCTTGTCATTCTTCATAGAGAACATTGTTGATCGTATCTCTTCTGCTGAAACTGATGCTTGCAAAGGGTTTTGAAATTTCTCTGGCAGAGACACTTAACGATTGAGTGCAGATTGTCAACTGAGCATTGTTCTATGCTAAGTGTTGCGTAGCATTTGAGCACAACGTAATTGTTAGGCAGACACCCTCAAAAACTAGTTTTATTATTTCTTTATTACGTAGAAGATATGATCATAAATTATTTGGTAACATTGTAGAAACACTATACTAATAGTTGATGAACTATTAAGTAAGGAGTTATATCAAAATTGATTAAAATTGTTCTAACTTAAATGCGACAAACTATTTAAAACCTACATAATTTTAAAACTATTTAAAACTGCACCAAAGTTTTATCATCAGATCAGATGTCATGACACATGCTGCAGAATTTTGTCAGACCAAGGGGATCATCTTCATCTCCTCTTGACATTTCCATTTTGATTCGTCAACTTAGTTAAATTATTTACATTTTTGTGAAAATTCAAATAGTTATTAAATACACCAATTTTGAATTAGTAAAAATATCCAAATAGTTTTTGTATTTATATGTTCTCATCAATTTAGTCGTTATCTACAAAATTTGATCAATTTAGTTTATCGATTTTGAGAATTGAAATAATTTAGTCTCTTGCGTTCTGTCTAGGTATGTGTGGCGGTCGGTTTTGTCGGTTTCGGTTTGGTTTTGACAAAAAACCGATCAAAAATTATTACAATATAACCTATCGAATCACATATAATGTAATGTCGGTTTCAATCGGTTACCAATAACCGACGGTTACAATCCTAAGAAGGGGGGGGAATTTCGTTAGGTCAGCAGACTCGGGTGGGGGGGGGGGGGGAATCAAGTCGGGACTCGCGGGAGGGGAGGGGAATTTCATTAGGTTTGTGGACTCGGGTGGGGCAGGATCAGGTCGGGACTCGGGAGGGGGGAAGTAGTGAGGTCGCGGACAGGGGCCATGGGTTCCTCGATTTTTTGATCTGTTCGGGGGGAAAGGAGTCCCTCCCGACGATCGAGCCGATCAACCGACGAGGTCGATCGGAACAACCGATAATTGCAAAAACAACCGTCGGTTACAATAACCGACCGTCGCACAATCCTAGTTCTGTCATCAATATTTTTTGTTAGAGATTATGACATCAACGCCATTAAAATTTTTTGTTAAAGATGATGACATCAATGTTGATATATAGATTTATTGACGTGACAATGTCACGTCACTTTAATATACTAACGTGAGATATGATAGCAAACATAATGATATGACAATACTACGTGATACTAACATGAAAATATGGTAATGTTGACATGACAATTTGAGAAAAAAATTATAAAAAAAGTTTGAGCTATTTCATAGAGATTAGATTAAACAAAAATGTACAACATATGGATTAAATTGAACAAAATTGAGATATTTAAAAACTAAATTGAAAAAAAAAATACAAATCATTAACTAGGTAATACATATACTTATTAATAATTTAATGTTCAAGTCTAAAAGATTTGGTATTAAGAAATAAATATAAATATTTTCTTACTTGATTATTTGATTTCATAAGGTATATTAATTTATCTTATTTATAAAAATTAGGTTTAAATTCCTTTTTATAAAAAAAATAATATTTTATAAAGTTATTTTTATAAATATCATGATTAAAATCATTATCACTTAAAATTTCTCCTTTTTTGTTAAACTTGCTATCTTTTAAATGAGATTATTTAATCTTCCATTTATAAAAAAGAAACAAAAAGGTTTAATGGACTTTCTTAATATATCTATGAGAATCAAAATAAGCTTATTAAACATTTTAACGACAAAATAATTTGCCCTGAAATCATTTCATTCAACATTGTGATTTAATTGACATTTTTAATACAAAATATTATATTTTTTATTCAATTTAATCTCTAAATACTTCAATTTTATTTAATTTAATCTCTATGACGTAATCTAGATTTTGTTTGAATTTTTTTTAATTTGTCATGTCAACGCTGACATCATTACCTCTAACAATAAATATCAACAATGTAAGGAGGATGGATTAAATTATTCCAATTCTCAAAATCGAAAACTTAAATTGATCAAATTTTGAATATATGGACTAAATTGATGAAAATGTATGAATACATGGACTATTTGGATATTTTGACCATTTTTAATTCTGATTTAGTAACGTTAGTTTTTTTAATTTTGAATTTTTTATTATTATAAATAATTTTGAAAACTTTAGCAATGTTACGAAATCTATCAAAACACATTATATTAGGAATAGTTTTATTAATTAGAAACATATTTGATAAAATAACATTACATTACAGTATTCAATGGTAATTTCCATAAAAAGGGCTTCGGGCGAAGAATATGTCTGTGCTGGTGGACGGAGCCTACCCCCTTTACGGGGCAATATGCCGGCCCAACTCAGAGGGTATTCTTGTTAATAAAGTACAAGGATTGGGCTAAAAGTAAACCTGAACTCATAAACCCCGCGAAAGGCCAAAGCCACTTCGCCGTTTATTTATCCAAAGCAAAAATGTTCCCGCCATTTCTCACATCAGCAAAAGGGGAAACCCTAGATTGACAGAAATCGACAGAGAGAGGGACGGAGCCATGGAAGAGGAGATCAAAGCAGAGTTCTTGAAGAACGGTTTCACTCTTGACGAAGAAGAAGAGATACTCAAGAAATGTGAGCTTTTTTTTTTTTTAATTCCAATTTTTCCACTCACTCTCTCACTCTTATTTTCGAATAATTTTATGCTAAGAAAGCTCTCAACTCTTCTCTTTTATTTTTTTATTAGGCCATATGT